TTTGCCTAGGGCGGCAGGATTTGGGGGGTGGCATTTTGCTGTCCTCAGCGGAAATTAGGCGGCGGGTCCTTCACTTGCTCCGGGACCCGCCGCCAAAGTGCCCCGAAGACGCAGAGTGGAAGGACCCCCGCCGCCGAATGCTCAGAGGAGGAGCGTTGCCGCTTAGGGCGGTAAAAACCCTGGTGCCGCTCCTGGCCCTGGCTGGCTCCCCTGGACAGTTTCACTTCCCTAAGCTCAGGAACATGCTCTGGCTGCTGCTGTGAGCAGGTAGGTGTTTCCCACCCTGAAGCTGAGCCGGTGGGAATAGAGAAGTGGAGGCTTCTATAAAAGGTGCAGTATTGGTAACCTGCACTGCTCAAAACTAACGAGTCAGCCCCACGTCTCCCAAGGATCATGCAATAAGCCCCCCAGAGCAGGAGATTAATAAAACAAGATGATGTTGGGTTTCAGGGTGTCAATGTCTGAACTCCCCCTGCCGGGCCCGGGCTGTGTGTGTCACACTTAGCTGTCGTCCCCCCCTCCTTTACCGAGCAAGGTGATTTCTGCCCCAGGGCACAAGCTCCCACCCCCTCCTCTGCCCGGCCTCAACCCTCAAATCAATCCCCCCCTCCCCCCCAGCAGTTCTGCCCCCAGATCTGACACCTCGATTCTACCCCTCCTCCAGCCCCCCCCCCGCAGCCGAGCAATAGGCCGGTCTGGTCAGGCTGCACCAGCCCGCACCGGAGAGACACCGACCCGCCCCCGGCCCCTCAGGAGAAGTGGGCGGGGGGGGGCTGGGAGCGGTACAGCGGCTGCCCCTCCTAGCAGGGAAAGGAGCAAAACCCCGGACCTGCCCCCGCCCTTCCAGGCACGGTCTGCCCTACCCCTCCCAGCTCCCTCCCCCCGCCCCAGGTAACGTCGGGTGGGGCGAGGACAGGGGGGAGAAAATAATTTTACTTTCACCACTGCCCGCCCCCCCCCCCCACCATCTGCCCCAGCTCCCACACCAGTTCCACCCCACATCCGCCTCCCAGCCTCACCTCTGCTCCTTCGGCAGCTCCTGGGGTTCCTGCGACTTCCGCTGCGGGGAGGAGAAAACAGCTGAGCTGCGGTCACATGATTTCTGAGACTCCCCCACTTATAGGTATTTACAACTTCGCTGTTTCTTGAGCAGGCTGCAGGGACCGGAACATGCTCAGTAACATTCACTGAAGTCGCTGCCCTCACTTGCATCCCAGCCAGCTCCCTGCACAACTCCCTTGTGAGGAGAAGTTAATAAAACCGGGACTTTTCAGCATGGAAAAGGGACGACTGGGGGGGAAGGTATCACAGAGGTCTATAAAGGCATGACCTGTGTTAGGGTGACTAGATGTCCCAATTTTATAGGGACAGTCCCGATTTTGGGGTCTTTTTCTTATATAGGCTCCTATTACCCCCTCACCCCCATCCCAATTTTTTACACTTGCTGTCTGGTCACCCTAACTGGAGTGGAGACAGTAAGTAAGGATGTGTTATTTACTCCTTCTCATAACACAAGAATTACAAAAACAACAAGGAGTCTGGCGGCACCTTAAAGACTAACAGATTTATTTGGGCATAAGCTTTCGTGGGTAAAAACCTCACTTCTTCAGATGCATAGAGTGAAAGTTACAGATGCAGGCATTATATACTGACACATGGAGAGCAGGGAGTTACTTCGCAAGTGGAGAACCAGTGTTGACAGGGCCAATTCAATCAGGGTGGATTTAGTCCACTCCCAATAATAGATGAGGAGGTGTCAATTCCAGGAGAGGAAAAGTTGCTTCTGTAATGAGCCAGCCACTCCCAGTCCCTATTCAAGGCCAGATTAATGGTGTTAAATTTGGAAATGAATTTTAGTTCTGCTGTTTCTCTTTGAAGTCTGTTTCTGAAGTTTTTTTGTTCAATGATAGTGACTTTTAAATCTGTAATAGAATGACCAGGGAGATTGAAGTGTTCACTTACTGGCTTTTGTGTGTTACTATTGCTTATGGCCCGTTTGTGTTCTATTATTCT